ATCATGGCTATATAGTATTAGACAAAATCAGTATATATATATATGTGTGTGTGTGTGTGTGTGTGTATTGTGTGTATGTGTGTATATATATATGTATACATGTGTATCTATATACTCACAGACACACAGATTTTCTAAAGCTTTAAATTTCGTTAGAAATTCCTTATGTCTGAAAAGATGTTAGTTTGATAGGACAATGTAATTAAGAAACCAAACATTAAAACTAATCTTCAATTCCTTTGACTTTAAGCCACATAGTTATACTGTTTATTTTAAAGATTTGAATACCTGTGTAATAAAGTGCAGCAACATTTCCTGAGTCCTTATTCAATGCCAAGTATTGTGCTTTATACTTTCATACACTCTTGTTCGTTTCCCACACAACTGTGCATAATGATGTCATCGACAGCATTTGTACATCAAGTTGTCTCGAGTCACTCAGTAGTAAGAGGAAGATCTGTGACTTGAACTGAGATCTGATAGGCCCCAAAGTGTCCTCTGCCCACTTTGTGCCCTCTGTGCCTTGCTTCCAGGATATCTACCTCTCAAACTAGGGTTTCTGGCACTGTGGTGTAATAACCTTCATTGATTCCTGAATCCTGATTTAAATCAAGCTTCTGTTTGATTATCAGATTCCTGTAACAGATGCTTTAGGTTAACCTATGTCATGGGTGTGCACAGAGTTTTGAAACATGAAAAATGACATGAAAAATGAAATGGACAAGGAAATTTGTATTTCAAGATGATCTAAAAATTTCATTTAACTTCTGGTCTCAAACTCCCTCTGCTCCCTAGCTTTCTCCCCAGTTGCAAACAAAAGGCAAGCAGGCTGGTCCAAGCTGGTCTCCATTTCCCGGGCACTTGGTGCTATTAGCAGTGAAATGGCTGCCCATGGGCAGAGAAGCAGGGGCCTCGGCTCTTCTTGGAGGGGAGTGTGGCCCTAGAAACCAACAACACACCGGCCTTGGCAGAGGTGACAGCAAGGATGGTGTGGCCCCAGAGCCAGGCATGGCCCAGCCTAGGATCCAACGAGGAAGGCTTTGTGCCCTGCTTCCCAAATGGACATTCCAGGAAAGAGTCAGATGACCCGAGTTATGGAAACCAAATGGCTCTCCTTTGTTTAGAGAGAGAGAAGGGGGGGAACCACTCATTTTTGTGGTAAAGTGAAAACAGGCTCCAAACCTAACAATCCCTCTCAGAACAGAAAATGCCAGCTCCGCAGAGCAAGCCCTCAAGCCCTGGAGGCTGACAAACTGACAGGCAATGGAGCTGTCCTACAGATGGCTGAAAAGCTCATGGACCTCGTGGTGAGGTATTCCTCTGCTTTGCCCCAAAAATAGGTGGTCTCCCAAGCAGGGACAGAAATGAAAGGAGGGAGAGAGTAAGAAGTGTCTGCTTGTCCAGATCACACTCCTCCTTCCCCTTCTTTCCAGATTGGATGGAGGAAGGAGACAGGAGCTGTTCAGAGGCACTGTGGAGCTATGTCACTGCCATGTGCCGCCTGGGATGTCCTTGTCAACCTGACCCAACTCTTCCCTCAGAATGCGGCCCAGAGTCACGAGGCCTCCTGTGGTTGCTCTGTGGCTACCTAGTTCATGGGCCATGGGACAACCCATGGCCATGAGGAAATGCATGTGAGTTCCAGTCAGCCTTGCCTGTCCTGTGTTTGATTGCTTCCCTAATGCAATGGAATGGAGTCTCTTAGCAAGGAAAGCATAATGCAGAAGAATTCAGTTCCAGTTCTGGCTTTACCTCTGACTTGCTGGGCAACCAGATGTCACTGTTGTCTCTCTAAGCCTCCATTGTGCATCTGAAAACTGAGCCTGATAATTCCTGTCCTGTCTAGCTCTCAAAGCTGTCATGAGGAGGGAACAAAGCATAGCTCCCATCAAAGGGTGGTGGAACGCCTGTTAGTTAACAAGGATTCTGCAGCCATACTTCCAGGGTACAAATCTAAGTGACTTGACTCTGTATAGCACTGAGTCTGTTGCGCGCGCGGGGTGGGGGTGGGGGGGGCTGTTGCTCACCTTCTAAATTCAGAGAGTAAGAGCCCTGCTTCAGAGAACTGCAGGAAGGTTAAAGTTGACTAAGTAATGCATGTGAGGTGCCTAGAAGAGCCCACGCTGTATGTGCCAGGTGAGACTGGCTGCCATTACTTTTATAGCCAGGAAAACATCTTGAAAATAGTAATGGTCTATTCACACACTGCATGACTCACTACTGTCATCATAGACTTTAATATTTTACACAACACACCCTCTGCATCCCTGTACATTTCATCATCTGCCAAGAGCTGATCTAAATATAAGGGAATAGCTCCAATAGTACCCTTTTGCTTTTAGGAAAAAAACCCAGAAAGCTCCACCATGTCCTGTACAACCTTGATCATGTGCCCCTGCTGCCTTTCTAGTCCCATTTTGAGCCACTGTCTATTCCACTCAAATTCAACACCCTCAGTGGCCTTTCACCTCACCTGAGGTCTGGGCTCCTTCCTGCCCCCAGATCCCTGAAATGCCTCCTCCTCTCCCACTCCATCTCCTCCTCAGCTGACCTCCAGATTTCAGCTGATACAGCATCTCCCCAGGAAGCATCTCCTGACCACCCAGCCCCAGAGGAGCACCAGCTTCTCCTTCCCCTTGTGTGTGCTCATCATAATTACAATTAAATACCAATCTGTGTGGTTAGCATTACATCAGGCCTTGAGAGGAGGTATTTCATCTCCTTTGTTCATGGCAAGCCCTCCACACTGCTTAGCACATTTAGACACTTAAAAATATATTTATGATAAAAATCAATGGGTTGAATTACTATCCCTGCTGCAGCTCCTATAAAATTCCTGAAAGGAGGATCTTTGTTTCTATTTTCAAAGTCTATATCTCTAGCATATAGTTGACCTTCAGTAAATATTTGCTAAGTGAATGAATGCACAAATGGCTTGAAATAGCCTTCTTAGCTTTTCACAAGATTTCTCTTGACAGCATCATCTTCCTCTTCCTCTCTGTCCCAATGGGGACAAAGTGCTCAGAGGTCAGGTTTTTCTTCTAACTGCCCTCCCAGATGACTGCCCTGTGAATCCAGGAATGGGCACAGGATGACACAAGGCTTCCTAATCTCCACTCAGACAAACATTTAGTGTCAACTGTATTCTACAGTTATGACTCACACGTGCCATAAGTGATAGCAGTTTCACAGCCAATGCCAATAACGAAATATTATCCTTCAAAAATATGTTTCCCTTTGCATCTTCTAGTTATAGGCACTTGTAACTACAGCTTGATTAAAAAGACAGCTCTTATTGACACAATTACCACAATTTTTTTGGATAGTATGTATACCCAATAAATGTTGGGGCATGAAGGAATGACTATTATCTACTATCTATTGTCTACTATTATCTATTATCTACTATCTACTATTATCTATTATCTACTATCTATTATCTCCTGAGTATACTAACTCCACAGCTCTGCCTCTGGGCCCCAGAACCTGAACACAATGAAATTCTTAAGGAGCTTGAGCTTAAAGCGACTTATGATTTTTCTTGGTCATGATTTAGGATAAGAGCAAAACCTTCTCCATTCCAGGCCCTCACCACCCACTGTAATCCCTCTTCCATGGCCACATCTGCTAAATCCTCCAAATTTGTCACTTCATTTCTGCCCAGAAGTACTCCAAAGTTCTTTTCATAGCTTCTAGAACTGTGTCTGAATTCATTGAGCCAACTCAGAGAACTTGGGTCCACTTTCTTCTCCACTGATTTCTTCAAGTCCTGTTTACTTCCCACCTTGAGATAGACCTTTGTTTGCCCTGTCTTTGCTTGTGATGGTCCCCCCACCAGGAATCCCTCCTGGCCATCTCTCCACTAAAGTGCAGCCCTGTTTTGGATTCTTCTGTGACATGATTGTCACCCTCTTCTGAAGGCACCAATGACGTTTGTTTTACCTCCTCCTTTGTCAGCACATTTTTCCATGAATATGGCTTCTCTTTCAAGGCAGACTTAGGCAAAAAGCTCATAACATCAGTCTAACACTTTTTTGTTTCTCCTCCATTATTTCTTTTTTTCTATTTTGTGAAAAAAACTTTCATAACAAATAATAAGAAAACAGCAACTGGGTATCATTGTCTTCAAAGTAGTTATTCAGAGAGAAAAAAAGATTCTCTCACAAAGAAGAAGCAAACAGATAACAGCACAAAACTTTATTGTCAATGAACTAAGAGAAACTAGTAGTATAAATGAAATGAATTAGCACATATATTACAATATTTTTGATAAGGCAAAATAGGTAAATTATGGAGTTATTTGAACTTCTCCCTGCATCCTATTTCTCCATCTTCTATTTTGCTCCTTGTGCATATATATACACTTTATTTATATATTTTGATTTTCTCATATAAAAGAAACTGATATTTAAGCTTGTATGTCTGACTTAGTTCACTTAACATTATGTTTTCAAGTTGCATCTATTTACCTAGGGAATGCCTCAAATTTAACTTTCCTTATGGCAGCATGGTACTCCATTGTGTATAAATAAAGCATTTTCCTTGTCCATTCATCTGTTGATGAACATATACACTGTTTCCAAGATGTAGCTATTATAAATTGTGCTGCTACAAACATGGGTAGGCATATATCTTTGGAATATCATGATTTTAACTCTTTGGGGAAGATACCTAGAAGGAGGATAGTGAGGTCAAATGGAATTTCTATTTTAGTTTTTCTAAGGGAAATGTAAACTCCAACTGTATCCTAAGAGTTCAGTCCCTAATTGTTCACTGATTGACCCAACTGGACATAAGAGGTCAGGAGACATATTCAGCCAAATAAAAGCCCCTGAGTCCACTGCTAATGGATTTTATAATACAAGAGTAATTTTTATTTCAGAAAGTTTTTTGTTTTTCTTGAGTCTCCTTGGACTTCGTTGACAGGCTCTAGAATTCACTGAATTTAAAATAATAACCTTGTCTCCCTCCTTCCTAATCCAGTGACTTCCTCTTTACAGATGAGAAGCCCTTTGCTGTGGAAGATACTTATTTATTGTGTCCAGCACCTATCTTACAAGAAGTTGGCATGTAAGTTTTCACCAGAAACTTAACTTCTCTAAATAGGGAGGGATGGAGGGATTGAAGGGAGGGCAGGGGAATGGGGAAAAAATAAGAACCAAGAGAGATTATGTAAAGGTGCAAATTTCCAATGATGAATGTCATTATATTGTATACCTAAAATGTACCAATAAAATTAATTTTAAAAAAAGAAAACATCTCTCTCCCTTATCATAATGGGACTTTTCTCTACATTCCCCCAGGAATAATGGTACTGGTGCCTACATCGAGCCAGGCACCAGCTAAGTGCTGTATAGAATGTCTTTTTTCATCCTTCCCAGTTCCCTGTGAACAGACATTCCTATTACACAGACATGAAAACTGTGGCCAAAAGAATTTGAGTAACTTTCTCAAGGTCACACAGTAGTCAGTGGGAGAGCCTGGGCTCAATCCCAGTTCTGTCTGACTTAATCACCACTACATTTCTAGAAAGTTCTCACATATTGCCTCATCCCATCATCCTTAGTGTCCCACTAGATGATTGCTACCAACTCCCTAGAGACAGGGAAACTTAGAAAGGAGGCCTGGAAAGGTGAAGCGAGGCCTCAGCCAGTTCATGACCAACCGAGACCCCAGACTGAGACCTATAATATCCCCTTCAATGTTCCCCACAGAGCAAGGGTCTCACCCAAAGTTCCCTGAACTAACTTATGGAGGACAACTCATGCCATTATAATAAATGCTCATGAGATGTAATCAAAATACTCAACAGAAGAAAGAGAAGCAGCACCCTGAACAAAAGAATTATATGGGAAAAGGGAGACAGTGTTGGTGCAGAGAACAGAAAACAGCCTCTTGAAAACCATGTCTATCACAGGCTGGAGATGGGATGGCAGCTTTAAAGGGGAAAAAGTAGAAACTGCCCATCCAAATTCTGCTTCCAAACATTAGTTTCTGTTGAAAGACCTCTAGCCCTGGGTGCATGACATCTACCTATGATACCACAGATCCTATAAACTAGAGCAGTGTCCTTGCTACAAAGTACAGCAAAATGTGAGCTCGTGTTTCAGTGAGTTCTTATAGATGGGAGGAGATAGAAGCCAACAGAGTTTATCTGCTGCTATACCTCTTTGGCTCTGCTGATAGCAACAAAGCCACTTCCATCAGATTGCTGAAAGTCCAGGTAATGAGGGCAGAACATCAAGCTTACAGTTTGCCCAGTTTGCCCCATTGATGTGGATCACTTTCTAAGAGTACTTTGTCCCACTACAGCATGACAAGTAATCTAAACAGAAGTGAGCTTTGCCCATTCATGCAAGGAGGTCTGAATGCCTTGCCCTGACATGCCAACCTAGCATGTCCTGTCATCTCTAGATATTAGAGGTGAGCAGCCAAAGAGGCTGTCTTCTACAATTTCCAAGGAGAAAACTGAGGCCTCACAGGGAAAAAACTGCAGCCTCAGGGATAGTTAGGAGCAAACCCCAAAGGGGACCTATGTGTCTGGCTGTCGGCCTATTGCTCATTGCACGCCACACTGAGTTTCTCTGGTTCTCTTGTTGTCATTGCAGGAAAGCAGCACTCCAGGTCAGCATGAATGATGGCCTCTCTTTCATCTCCAGTTCTGTCATCGTCACCACCACACACTGTGTAAGTCATAACCTCTCCACGTACTAAAGACCTCATTATCACTGTCAACAACTTTTCTTAAACACCAATCTTCTCCAAAGGCATCCCTGCAACATTCTCTGGTTCTTTGCTGTTCACTGACTTGGCTCCCCAGCACTGCTGGGCCAGTCTCAGGCTGGGCCAGGCATGTGTCAGGAATCTCTGTGGCAGCTCCTCTGGGCTCCCCATTTCTGGTGTTGAGGGGAGCCCTGAATGCACTGGTCTCCATGTGGTGATATGGGATATGTCTGTGCAGAAGTGAGGGATGGGGGCCTGGATAGACCAGTCTTAAAAGAGAATGAGCAGAAAGGAGTTGAACAATATATTCAGGAAATAGATCTTAGAGGCTTTTTTCCCCTAAAAGTAAGCAAGAAAATGCACATTGGCAAGAAGAAGATGACAGAGAACCTTTTATTTAGGACAGGAGAAACTGAAACTTGTTTATTATTGTGGAAATAATCCGGGGGAAATGGAAAATTGATGGGGAGTGGGGCTTTGCCTTAGGGTTGGTGAAGGAAGAATGGTGATTGCTTTCTCCCTGCCACCTCCTCATATACCCTTTTCTGTGTCCTTCGTGTTAGACTGTTGTTATTTCTGGCTACCTATGAAATCACCTGGAGAGCTTTTGAAAGAGACTGGAGCCAAAATCTCTGGCGTGAGCCCTGGCTTTGATGGCTTTGAGGCCTCTTTCGGTGCTGGTGATGTGCAGCCTCAGTAGTTGCTGTTGCTCATGGTCAGCGTTTCAGAGCCTAGTTTGTCAGGGGCAGTCAGAGCTTGGTTCAAGAAAGAACTCAGCCTCTGCATGAGCATTCCAAAACAACCATTGTCAGGATATTCAGTTTCTTTAACCATATGTACTTCTCCACTGGATCATTCAAGCAACTACGGTGTTTGGCCTGATAGTCAGCTTATGTGGTTGCAACAGTTATTTCCTGATTGGCCTCTAGAAGATCTCTCAGTAATTGGAATTGTATCCTTAATACCATTACAAGTGAACAAGCGATACCAGCATGCCCTGACACTGGATAAAGTAAAAACAAGTTATCTTGTTTTTAAATGAGCAAGCAAACCAATTTTCTTGAAAGCTAGCTAAGCTTGTATCATGGCAAAGAGACTAAGCTGGTCACAGACAAGTGTCAGCACTGAGAAATGTCCATGTCTCCAACATCTGGTTAACCCTCAAATACCTGACAGGACACCAACAAATTTTTTTAAACGATAGGTAGAGTCAGTGAAATTGCCTTGTTTTCTTTTGTAGTTTGAGACAGGGTCTCACTAGGTAGTTCAGGCTGGCCTCAAACTCAAGGCAATCCTCCTGCCTCAGCCTCCTGAGTGCTGGGACTACAGGCGTGCACTACCACACTTGACAAAGCAGTGAAATTTCTTCAAGTGTACCCTGCCTCATTCTTTTGGAAATTGACTTTTGGAACCTGCCAACCTGCAGGAAATGATTAAAATACTCCAAATCTAATAACTCCATTCCAGATTTCTCCCAGCTTTTGAGTTATCCAACAGTGTGGACCTGCATTTCTCATTATGTCTGACTACACCACTGAGAAATAGTCACTGTCCTTGAACCACAGGGCAGGGGAAGTGGGAAAGAGAAATGTCTTAGGGCTAAGCTTGTGGTATGACAAATGCAGGGCTGCAAATTTAAATCTAGACCTCTAAGTAAAGAGAAAAAGAGTACCCTTACCAATGCATTGCAAAATTAAAGAACTCCCAGTAAGTCCCATTGCATCTTCCCAACTCACTCCACTTACATCTTATATTGCCATCATCTGACTGCACGTCATAAGTTTTCTGTTCAGTGGACCCTTAATTAAGACCACCTTAAATATATTCTGCACTATTCCCTTTTCACTTGAGAGTACTGTGTTAGTTCACAAGAAAAAATCCTAAGCTGTCTAAGATTTGAGATCCAAATCCATTCATTCATTTGTTCAACAAATATTCATTAATCACAATGTGCTAGGCACTCTCCTGGGATACATCAGAGAACATAGCAGACAGAAATCTCAGGGCACAAGAGGAAGTAGATAGTGAACAGGAAACATAATGAAAGGTAACGTGCTACAGGAAAGACAGAGCAGAGTAAGAGGGATTGGTACTACTTGAGTAGGTGGGTTCCAAAGTGAATAGGGTAATGAACACACTGACAACATGGTATTTGAACAGCTGAGACTTTTCTCACTTTATTTGGTGACCATTTGGACAACTGTGTCACAAGCTCTCAGGATCCATGTTGCCCCTGCCAGAAGCAGAAATTCTGTGAAGTTTTACAGGAAAGAGCTTTTTCCATCCAAGAGCTAAAAGATTCCTATACAAATGGTAAACTGTGTTGAGCTCCATGACTATAGAAAATGGTCAAACATCCAGAGTCCTCTCTCCCCAGCACATTCAAAACAGTTCATCTCTGTAGTCTTAAACTGTTCCCCCCTCTTCTTCCCCTCCTCTAGCCATATGTTGAGATAAACACTGATAGAACATATCCAAAAAATCTATACTCATAATAACAAACAAGCAAAGTTTATACTTTAAAGAACTTTTCATGAAGATTGTCTTCTTTTAATTAGTTTACTTTTCTGTAATTTCCTGGCCAAAGAGCACAAAATTCAAGTATCTTTCAACAGGTATTTCTTTCATACTGTGCCTCTTCCAATGTTTCTATTAGACAGATGAATCCAAGGAGCCTACAAAGAGTATATAATAAAGAACAGGATTGTGTGAGTCAGGTACAACCGCTGTAGGATTTCAGAGGGTGAGGGGAGGAGTGGAGCCAGGAAGAATCATGAGCTCTCCATGGAGGAGGTAATAGCTGAGTGATGATTTGGAAAATGATAACTATAGCTAAAGAAGTGGCAAGAGACAATTTCCTAAAGAAAACCAACAAAGGCCAGCAGAGCTAGAAATGTCTCTGGCATAGTTTGTCCATGGTCTATCCCAAAACTGTGACTCTGTTACTTCTTTCCTTTCATTTTGTATCAGTTTCTGGTGCCTTGTGATTGAGGGCCATTTCTCAAGTTGGCCACTACTCCTCTTATAGGATGTACATCCCACTCCCTTGATCTTGGTCACCCAGTATGTGACAGTGAGCACAGCTGGTGCTCATTGCTGTTAACTGTGATCAGGACTTGATTTGTATTAGCTGCCAGGTTGGAAAAATCACAATCTGCAAAGGAAAAACCTGAGATCTAACATTAGACAATAGGTTCTAAAATCAATACTAAATAAAGGGGAACTCTGTCATTTCTCTCAAATTTATATTAAAAACAGCTTGGCTACAAAAAGCAACAAGGTTAAATAAATTTGAGAAGACCTAAGTGACTTCACTGTTCAGAGAAACTCTTTTTTAATTAAAAGAAAACTGAACAAACTCCACCTAGAATTATCCAAGAAAGTACCACTGTACTATGACTATAGCATCATGGAGGAATTAAGAATACAACAGAGTGAGTCAAAAAGCCTGATTTCACATCCCAGCCCTTTCACTTCGTAGAGTGATCTAGGGCAAGCTAACTTAGCCTGTCTCAGAACCTGTCTTGCATGATTAAAATAAGGGTTAAAAGTAATATATATATAATGAACTTGAAGTCCATAATAACCTATCAAGAAATGACAGACATTAGTTCATTGACCTCATTCTTTTTCCTTGCCAAGTAAAGATATACCTGTCCCATTAAAAGATTTGTTATACATGCCCTGTGGCTTATAAATAGGTTATTTTCTTCTGATTAAGAGGCATACTCCCTTTTGAGTACATGATAAGCCTGGGTTTTAGGGTAAAACTGAAGATGTTCCTTGCAGAATAACTGCAGGAAGAAAACAATAAATCAGCTTCGGGAATCACTCAAAGAAGTTGGGTTGTTTTGAAAATGCACAAGAAATTTCTTTCACAGTAAATGAATCAGGTAAATAGTATCATAAAAGAAATACTTAGATTACTTGGAAGCATGAATAAAATTAAGTGTTTACTAAAATGGATGCATTATTATCACAAAAATCTTATTATATCTAAAATATTCTATCACACTGAGCATATTTGGAGGCCTTTATCGGAGTAGGTACTTCTTCACTCAGATGAGGTCTGTATCCTCAGCAAAGGCTGCTCATTGGCTACTGCATTTCACCGTGCTTTTAGATGATGGTTGGCTCTCTGTGGAGATGCACTCACTGTCAACTTGTTTCCTAAGGAATTTTAAACCACCTTATCCTTCAGATGTTCAGGAATTCAGACCGTTCTTCCCCCAAACTGGCGGTATTTTTCCATAAACATTCGTGTTGCGAGATTGTGTGCATCTCTGTGTGTCTATCTGTCTTTGTGTACCTGTGCATATGTTGGAACAACAGAGACTGCATCTCATACTAAAATGGAATGATGTGATCCAAAGTATTAATACTATGACATGGGCTGGGGATTTAGCTCAGTGGTTCCGCCGCCTGCCTCGCAAGCGCAAGGTCCTGAGTTCAATCCCTGGTACAAAAAAAAACCACTGTGACAGCTGAAAAAATAAAGAATCAGAAATTCTTAGTGGAGAGCCCAGGATTCTGCATTTTAATAAGTTTGCCAAATAAATCTTTTTTTTGCCAAATAAATCTTACCACGACTCTTACCATTGTACTCACCTAACTCTAGTTTTTCTTCCACAGTTTAAGAAAAAAAAGTCATTAAAATCCATTGAAGACAAACAAGTTATTCTCTTGCATCACTCCTAACCCCATTCATGTAGGAATTCCAAGATTTTAAATTCAGAAACCACTCTATACATTCCTTCTTTTGGAACCTCTTTTCTGATATAAAGATAGGAAATTTGCCAAAAGAATAAATTTAGTCCCATATGTTCAGACTAGGAAACTTCTCGCTTTTGTGCTGCCAAAGACTGAAATTTTTTCCTCCAAATTCTCCCTTTCCATGTTCCATGTCCCTCCATGTCCTTTTATCACACCAAACCGTGGTGAGTCACAGATCTGTTGTTCATTTGTTTCAAGAAGAAAGAGCCCAGTTGCCATCAGCATTGGTTCTAACACTTCATAGATCCTGATGTCTCTCAAGAAGGTGGGCCTCCAGGGGGTCAGTTATATTATAACTTTGGAAACCGCTGGAAGCTAGAGGAAAGAAAGCAGTTACTTGAAAAGAACAATTGTCTCTGGCACAGTAGAGCCCATATTCTTCTTGAGGAAAAAGACACTATGTTTTGTCTCCCATTGCAATCCAACCTTCGCACAAAGTCTGCACATAGCAGTAACTTAGCAAATGACTAATAACTGAGTGAATGAATGAATGAATGAGCTCCATCAAAGTTCATGCTGAGACCATGATGGCACCTGCTTGTAGGAGAGGAATGGAGTTACAATGAGGTAAAGTTAGAAAAGGAGGCTCTCAGCAGGTAGGAGAGCAGGCCTCTAAAGAGAGTAGCCCACCATCTATGTCGAAGGAGCTTGAACATAATTCAAGAGAGACTTTGCCCAGTGAGACATTATTATCAGCAGTCATAGGCAGGGCAATAATCAAAGACCTCTTCAGAAGAGCACTAACTCCATGAAACCCTGCCGGGGATGCAGACCCAGAGGAAGGGTCTAGAAATATTCCACCAAACTAGATGAAGATTCAAGGCAGTCCCCCAGTGTGGGAGGGGCTGCAGCCCAAGGCTAGAAGCCAGGCAGAACTGTGGAGAATGATAGAATTGAGGTCACTATGGAAAAGTTGTGAGTGGGGGACATCAGCACAGCCTGGGGTCTCCCTGTATTATCAGAAACTTAGGCTACAGCAGCAGAACTAATCTGGATACCACCAGCCAAGGTTGAAGGAAGTCAGTCTGCCTAGGTGCGGGCCAACTCAAAAGGGATGTTCTGTAGCCCTCCGTGGATGTCATGGTGGCTACAGGAAAGAAAGAGGGGGCAGAGGGAATGCAGGGACCCCTCTCAGCACTGTCTGCAGAGTTCTCTGTCCAGGACAACTTCCCAGGCCCACTTGCAACATCAATTCAGTTCTGCTCCCAATAGCTTTAAAGCAACTTGGGAACACACAAACCCAGCCTGGTTTTGTAATCAGATGGCTCTCTAGATAAACAGACAGCTGGCATGACTGCCCTTGCCAAAATCTCTTGAATTTCACCAGCCTGGTAGCAAGTGGATCCAGTAGCCATGCTGAACGGCAGTCTCACCTTCCAACATAGTAAAAAAATTATTGTGCACTCTTTAGTGAATGTAGAAATCAAAAAAGACTTTGGTATTTCTTTTCCAAAGTCAGGAAAACAGGCCATCAATCAACTTTTGGGCTTTTTTTTTTAAGATCAGTTGGTGATAATGTTCCTCTACTGTTTCTCAGTACTAGGAAACATCCCCTGAAGGAAAAAGATGCCCTGCCAAATAGCCACCTGAAGAGGGTAGGGCCATGGCACACATTTGGACATTCCTCTATGGGTTTCCTCCCCTCAGTGTTATGCCACTTCCTGTCCATCTCTCTCCCACACTCACCCCTATCCCTACTCGCTATGCTGCACATAACCTGGAAGAGTAAGGAAGTCTGGACTGAGGGTGGGGTAGGAGACTGGCCTTGAAGAAGGCTTGAATGGGAGATTGTGGAGTTTGGGCAAAACAAAGTGATTCAAAGGAAACATAAGCATTATTCTAGGAAGATTTACCCACCATTGGGATGCTCCTATTGTATTAACTGTAATAAATAACATTAATTTGGATGCTGCTGATTTATCAACTTGGTCATTTGGAAAAGGAGGGCTCTAGTTTATTTTTCCATTATTTAGGCTGAAGAAACTTAGGGCCAAGAGTCACCAATCCATAGCTGTGAAATTACAAATGAATCATTAAAGTTTTCATACTCAGCCCTAGGAAAAGGATGGTCAGGTGTACCCTTTTCATTGCTGTAATTATAGGTGATTTGTCCTTTGAAATGTGTGGGTTAGCAAAACACAGGGAAAGACCTAGTTGGGAAGGGAAAATGGGAATAAGTATGGGCTTTGGAATCAGACAATGTAGCTAAATGTCCCAATTTTGCTACTTACTGGGTGTGACTTTAGACTGAAATAATGTACCTACAATAGCTGGCATGGAGCCTGGTACACAGTAGATGCCAATTTTAGTTTTCTTGCACTGAGTTTGTAATCTCTATAAGATAAGCACAGTGATACGCTTTCTAAAGACATTCTGACTTCTGTATGAATTAACAGAAGAGTGGTATCTAAAACTAAGGAGGTGATTGGACCTCTTAACTTGATAAAATCTCCATTTGAGTATTGTGTTTGATACCAAGTATATTCTCTAGGAAGAGCCTAGCGAAACGGAATGTATGAGAAAATTAACAAATATGGTATATTGTGTAAAATATACACGTGAAGCTTGTTAGCCTGGAGACATAGCATGGAGGCAGCATCCAAAGGGCTGTTCAGAAATGGGTGTACCTGTGCCTTAGAGTCGTGAGTTTATAAATTACTTGATATAGCGATCTAACAAGTGGAATAGGTGCAGGTGCTCAGTTTCTGGCTCAGCTTTTAAAGGAGTCTTTCTAATTGGGTGTTTCAGGTGGGAGTGAGATCCCTGTTGTGGTTGTATTCAAGCTTGCAGAATTATGTAAATGGAATTCATGCATCAGATAGGCAAAGGACTAGAAATGCAGAGAGTCTGTGACTATAGACCTTTGAGTATGTCAGGGAAGGAGCAGGGTGAAGGTTATCAC